TGCTAATGGGATTTTGTACGAGGCAGATAATGCAACTTTTGGTCCAGCAACTTACTATACAACGAATACACAGAGATGGGCAGTCAGTAATACTGGTCTGCCCGCTGATGCCAGCAATCCATATTACAGATCCTCCTCTTCAAGTCAGTTCACAAATACTTTGGATTCAGAGCTTTTCCAGACTGCACGTATGTCAGCCGGATCGCTGAGATACTATGGCTTGGGCCTGGAGAATGGTAACTACACAGTGAAACTCCAGTTTGCAGAGTCACAAATTCTAGATACTAAAAGTTGGATGAGTCTTGGAAGGCGTCATTTTGATATATATGTCCAGGTCTGTATTTTATTATGCTTGGAATTAAAAGTACAGTAACTAGATTTTTTCAGTAGACCTGCAATGTACGTTAATTTATCATCACCAGCGAGCAAAGCATGTGATGCTTCTTGTTACCATAATCCTATAAGTTCAGCTATACTTGTGAGTCTAAGGTCAACAGTCATCATTAAGCCTGACTCTTACCATGCATCTGTGGCTGTGTCATTTGTAAATATGGAATGATCTTGATTGCTATATTTGGCGTGGGTGGTTGTTACCGTGTTATTGTCGATGGGCACAAGTGTGACATCTGTATTCTGGAGCCATCTTTTCTAATATATGCATTGAACTTCATCATGTATCATTCATTGTTTGGCAAGTTCTCTAATTTTTAATTTCAGCATAAAAGTGCTCTTTTATTATCCATCCAAATTCCGGACAAGACCAAATATTAATGATTAACTTCTGGATCATTACTTTCAATTTACGTACCGAATCTATGATTTACATGCTATCTTATTGTATAATATCCAAAAGTTTTTACTAACCGTCCTTGGTTTCGGTTTAGGGGTGTGCTTCTCCTCAATCGGCTCAGAGCGCTTGAACTCCTAAGACTAAAAAGAGTATTTATGGATAAGTTGTGCCTGAAGGGGGTGCTAGATTGTACCGTTAGCAAGGAGGATGGATTCATTACTTTAAAGCTAGAAATGAGCTATAAACCACGATTAAGCAAATTCAACATAGAATTATTTTTTATTCCTTTTTCTAATTGTGTAGTGCATTATTAGTTTGTTGTTCAACATTGCTATCTTAACTGATATACCTTTCAAAAACTTCATTCATAATTGATGGGGCAACTCTTTCTTGATGCCTTTGTTAGCTGGGTTATGAATTTGATCAATAACATGTTTCACAGTATCACATGCGCTCAGTAGCTGCAGACATCTTTTATGAAGTGATATATATGGTTCATTTGTGATGCATTATTCTTTTCTGTACATGAAATTTTCCTTTCCTATTGAAACTTTGGTTGATTTGTTTTGACTTAAGCTGTCAGCGGATTTCAGGGGAATCGAGTGTGGAAAGATTTTGACATAAAAAAAGAGGCTGGAGGACGTTCTTTCACTGCCGTTCAAAGGGAATTCACAGCTTATGTGTCTGAAAACTATCTTGAAGTCCATCTATTTTGGGCCGGAAAGGGGACTTGTTGTGTTCCTACTCAAGGTTCATATGGACCTTTCATCTCTGCAATCAGTGCAATCCCAGGTAAATGTGATTTGTGAGATTTTTTGACACATTTTGCTTGATTCTCTAAGTATTGAATCCAAATTCACAAAAAAATCATGCTGTTTCTACAGATTTCAATCCCACCGTTAGTAATAATGCTCCCACTAGAAAGAAGAAAAGCACTGGAAGCACTGGTCTGATTGTGGGGATCGTAGTTCCCATAGGAATTGCAAGCTTTTTGTCAGTTTTTGCTGTGTACTTTTTCGTTCAGAGAAGAAGAAGGCACCAGGCTTTTGAGGAAGAAGGTAAGGAAAGAAAGCCATTGATTGGGTATCTTTTTAAAGTATGAAGACATCTTCTTGTTTGCTTGCATTGCTTTTAAAAGCCTGTATCCACTGGCCGTTAGCGTAGATTGCGTAAATTATTAAATGTGGTTCAATATCAAAGCGTATCCGTGGGAATTCTGCTACATAGCCATATTATCGTCATCTATATGAATATTAGGAACCATAACATATCACTATTATATGTCATTACAGAAAATGCTTGAGCAATTTGATACTTATGAATTGAAACTGTTTATCTTGGCATTTTATAAACGACAGAAAAATTTTCTGTTAAATTTGTAGAGTTCTTGGGGATGGAAGCCAGGCCATACACCTTCAGTTATGCAGAGCTAAGAGCTGCGACAAATGACTTCCATCCTAGTAACAAACTTGGAGAGGGAGGATTTGGTCCTGTCTTCAAGGTAATTCTTTCTTCTAATTAAATCCATGATAAAGCTAGAGCACTTCAAATTGCATGAAACAAATATTACCGACGTATAAATCCATAAAATAAGGGGACAGGGTGAGGAAGCTGAATGGTTGGCTGCTAGCACTGCCTAGAATCTGCTGCCCTGTCTGGTTCTTGCTGCTCAATAGCTGCTGCCCCAAACATTTGTTGTTTTTAACATGCTCTTCTCATATTACTTCAGATAAATGAAGGCAGGCAATGGCGCACTGGTATAATTAGGTATCAGAGAATAGAAAAGTTAGCTCGTAGAGCATATATGATTGAATATGAATCACGTTTTCAATAGTTACAAGACAATTTGAGCTCAAGTAATTGTTAATCTTGCCCAACAAAAGAACGTCATATGCCAATCTATTAGATTAGCCATGTACTTTGTGGTGATCAACAGGGAACACTTGAAGATGGCAGAGTTGTTGCTGTTAAACAACTCTCTGTGGCATCCCACCAAGGAAAGAGTCAATTTGTGGCAGAGATTGCTACCATATCTGCAGTGCAGCATCGTAACCTTGTGAAATTATATGGCTGTTGCATTGAGGGAAATAAAAGACTGCTCGTTTATGAGTATCTTGAGAACAAGAGTCTTGATCAAGCATTATTTGGTACGTAAAAGAATTGTATTGATGCAAATTGCTGCCTAAGTGCTTTTACTTTTCGAACGTAACAGTTTTGCTTCAATGGGGGGCAGGAACTAATAATCTACACCTTGACTGGCCTACCCGATTTGACATATGCCTTGGAGTGGCAAGGGGTCTAGCCTACCTTCACGAAGAATCTCGACTTCGAATAGTGCACAGAGACGTAAAGGCCAGTAATATTCTACTTGATTCTGATCTAAACCCCAAGATTTCAGACTTTGGCTTGGCTAAACTTTATGATGACACAAAGACACATATAAGCACGCGTGTAGCGGGCACAATGTATGAGATTGTAAATTCATAATGACCTTTCATGTTGTTTTCAGCAATTTGTACTTCAATGTTAACTACTAATGCCTCTTTATGGCTGAATGTAGAGGCTATCTGGCACCAGAATATGCCATGCGTGGACACCTCACAGAGAAGGCTGACGTGTTTGGATTCGGAGTTGTTGCTTTGGAGATTGTCAGTGGAAGGCCAAACTCTGACTCGAATTTGGAGGAAAATAAGATATATCTTCTAGAATGGGTACTGATCTTTTTTAGAACATTCTAACTCTACTCATATTGCTTTAGTTGGTAAGGGTTGTGTGCTATTCCTCCTGCAACCCCAAACATTTAGAAACAGTTTGATGTTGAAATATACAGAAGATATAGATGATATTGGTGTTCGATTCACGAATCAGAGCCATTAAACTAACTAAATTGTTGGATGTCTATCATGAAGTTTACTGACAACTACTGTCAAAGTTTGAATATAACTTGTCCAACAACTGGAATTTTGGCTTTGTCAGGAAACAACACAATTTGGATTCTAAAACTGTGACTGCTGCCTTGAGGGTCTCACAAGCATCTGCATTAAAACCATATTTTAGCCTTTACTACTATACATATTACCCTTGGCTTTTTTGTTTAGTATTATTTGTTTCTGCACTTCTTGAATTTGCTTTGGTTGGTTTTGCATGATTCACTCCTTCAGGCCTGGAACTTACATGAAAATGACTCTGAAATCGAGTTGGTTGACAGTAAATTAGTTGAATGTGATGAGAATGAAGTTAAAAGAGTGATAGGTGTGGCTCTCTTGTGCATACAAGCATCTCCAGCTTTACGGCCTTCTATGTCACGTGTGGTGGCAATGCTTTCTGGGGATACTGAGGTAACCACAGTCACTACGCGGCCTGGATACTTGACTGATTGGAAGTTTAGGGATTCAACAAGCTTCATCAGCAGCAATGAAAAAACATCAGGATCTAATAGCCGCAGCTTGGGAGCTGAGCAAATTTATTCCCCTTGAAATGCTGAAGAACCCATGATTTCTGATATCCTTGGTGATGGCAGATGAGAAATGACATATGTATTTGTTGTATGTATAGAGAGAGAGAGGCAGAAAGAGTTTACACTTGCTAGCACCATTCATTAAATCAACATTTCCAAAATGAATGGACTGTTCTGTGTTTTTCATAACATATGATTGCATTTCGGGTTGGTTTTCCTAGTTTGGATGGGCTTTTCCGGGGACCTTGATACTTTCCTTTAGAGATCTTCGTTGTGCATCGTGATGCCAAGTAAATAACTAAGATATACCAGTTCCGGTGGTACATTTATTATTGAAAGGAGCAATAGATACAGAAATTCATTCTAGCGTGTGATAAAATTGAGTTTAATTTTCAACCAGACTATTTCAAATTCCATTTCCTTTTTTTTGTTTCCTTTTTGGGCTTTAGCTTTCTGTGTGTGCGTGTTGTGATGTCAAATTCGTCCGACTCAACCACAAATTTAGGTGAATTCAAACTAATGAAGCTTACAAGTTCTACAAGATAAAATGATTATTTTGTGTTTCCAAAAGAACATTAGCTAGTAACAAAGTTGAGAATTAGTATTAGCTTCTTCAAAATGTATACAATGTTGAATGTTTTCAAGATTGAAATTCTTACCCAAATGATATTCCATGTTTAAATGCTGTTAGTATAGAGAACTAATATTCAGATAATTCGTTTTTGGGCCTTGCTTGAACTGTAACTTCTGGAAATGGATAGCACAAAGAAATATTTATTCTGCAAATATAACCAAATAATCCCAAATTAACAGAAAGCAGAACGGAGGATTCTGCAGCTTTCATCCATCCACACCACCCAAGCCAAAACTCTAGCGGTATAACTTTTTGGTTTCTAAAGCTTCTAACGTATATTCCATCTACACTACCAAAGTTGAAGGAAAAGTAAAGAAAGATACTAAACAAAAGACCAAAAAGAAGAGAGAGAGAGAGGGGGGGAGGGTCATTTCCGTATTCTGAAAATCTGGCAGTAGACTGTAGAAGCTCTTGATCCAGTCCTGCTCTTCCTCTTATGGCACCCCCTCGCCTGCCCTGCTTCGGATTGGAAACTTGGAATTAGTAATTGCACAAAATGACTCTCGTGAGAGCAATGACCAAACAAGCCACGGTGAAGAAGAAGAAAGAAACAAAGTCCCTAGATGACCATTTCCTGACGGCTTTAGAGGATTCAACCCTCAAACTCTTAGCCCTCCTCAGCGCGTCCACTTCTTTCAACAGGTCAAATTCAACCCCTTTCTTCTTCAACTCCTCAACGCACTTGGCCAGCAATTTGCAGTCCTCTTTTTCCCTCTGCAGAAGCTTCTCCAGATGGCCTTCCACGTCAGTCTTGTACCTGACAGCCCATATGATCCCAAGAGAGCAGAGGAGGGAACACAAAGATGGGATCCAAGACCTGCGGCAGAAGGGGCCCCGGCCTCCTGCGGAGGAGGCAGCGCTGAAGAGAAGGATGAGGGCAGTGGAATGGAAGAAAAAGAAGAAGCAGTAGAGTTGGGTGATTTCTTTGCGGACGGAGTCAATTTGAGTCTCCTTGAGGGCTATTCTGTGGAGGATTAGCTCTTCTTCCCTCAGCCATTGCTTGAGGAGAAGCTTGTGAGTTGGGGTCTCGGCGATCTGGTGAAGCGGGTGAAGGGGCTTCGATTCCATGATTGAAGTTGACGAGGTGTTGCTCTGATGATCAACCATTGTTGAAAATTTTTCTTGGAGAAGGCTGTGGGTAAATATTATCTGCAGATATGAACTGAGAAAAGTGAGGGTGGCGATTAAGCAGAGTGAGGAGTAAAGAGGAGCGGGCGATATTTTTGTCCAAACGGTCTACTTTTGGGTTTTGAATTCTAACGGTCCAAAATTACGGATCCGCAGAAATTGGGAGGCTTTCGGCTACAACAGACAAACAAATCCTATCCGTCCATACTCTATTGAAACGTTGATAAATCCTATCTGGTAATCGTTAGATGGGAGGTATAGTACGTCAGCCAAAACGATCCAAAGAATATGGAGACCGGTCTTTTGAGTGGAGAAGGACAACTTGACTTTACAGTGAAGAATGGACTTTTTTTTTTACTGTTTCCCCGCGCGCGTCCAGGTTGATGTCACGTTATTTGTAAAAAAAATTCTTTACTTGTATCATAAACTAGAGGTACCTCGGCTGTACGTTGCACAGCCAGGGCTCTCTAAAATATTAGTTAAATATATAGTAACAAATATTTTAGTACATAATGAATAAAAATATAGAAAAAAAAGTAAGTATAAAAACAATTAAAATTTGCTGTGAAAAGAAATTTCATATATAAAGTTAATCCCAATTTATTGTAATTTGGAAAAAGAATTTTTAACCAATATTATGTGTACGTAATGATACCAAAAAAGAAAAGAAAGCAAATCCATTATGAGTGCATTATCGGTTTAATAGCAGCATAGTTTTAGTTGTAATTAAATAAAGAGTAGTCATAATATTTCTAACATTTTAATAATTAGAAAAAATATAGAAAGCCACAAAAACCTGTCACTATCTTCAACATCAATAAAAAAAAAATACAAACTTGCATATTTTTCTTTCTTTTTTGAGAGAAAGAGCGAGTCAATCTATCCATTTAAATCATGTCTAATAGCATTACAAATAGATAAAAACATTATCTAACCAAATAGTTATAGAATACGTATAGCAAGTTTAAATAAAAACATGAATTGCCATATTTGTAAATCTACATATGCAAATTCGAATCCAACAATTTGTTTGATTGCAAATATGTCTTCTTAATCAAAATAGAATTTTCTAATAATATTTTGTAGAGTGACACTCTAAGCTAAAAGCCTCAATACTAACTTCCCACCAAATGCATTCCTTTGAAAACTGCAATTGTTTTAGCTAGTCAAATCGACAAAATATTATTAACTTCTTTAGCCAAATAGTAATGATATGTCCAGTTCTATGCCTAACAATCATCTCAAACTCTAATTATATTATCTATCATTATGGGCAATAGAAAGGAATACGAGTACAAAGTCATATAGAACCAGTTTAAGTAAAAGATTCTGAAATCTAATTTTGCACTTCTTTTATTTCCAAGCTATCATTTGTTAAAATTAAAACCATGAAAATAAACTACCTATTATGGATACAATAGTCATTCACAATGTTGAATGAAGAGATATAAAATATTGTCTTCACATTCTAAATTGCTAGCCCCAACAATTATTTTACCCGTCATCCATCTTATCCAGTTTATAAGCACTTTTCACAATTAATAAACTTTATATAAATTAAAACATAATTACCTATCCATAAATTAAGAGATTCTGGTTAATTTTTAACTTAATAGGCATCATTTTTTTCTTCCTGATCATCGTTTACCTTGGATTTTCATTTATTAGATTTTTTTCTCCTCTACTGTAGTACTATCACCCTATTATCAAATAACAATTTTAATAAATAAAAAATTAGAATTAGAATGAATCTGCATAATGGTGTTATTTATTTTATGAGGGAAAAGTAGTTACAATTCTTTCATTGTTAGCCTAAAAATTCTTCATGTAATCACCACCCGTCTTGTTGTCAGCCTTTTCCAAAAATAAAAAGATCAAAAAGTAGTTTCAGAATAAATAAAATATAAAAAACTAAAAAAAATGTTTCTTTAGATTTGGGGAAAAATATTCACAGCATCACATACCTATTTTGGGCAGAAAGAAAGTCAGATGAAGAAGAAATAGGTGAGAAAAACAATAAGCAAAGGTTGCTGATCAAGACGCAAAAAATGACAAAAAAAAAATCAAATAGTATATACCAAAAGAGACATTAAAAGTAGAAGATTATGAATCATAATTATTGGATTATGGAAGAAAGGAAATATCAAATCCATTCTTGATCTCCGATAATGAAATCATTCATTTAGTTAATTATGGACAAAAATGAAAGAAAATGCATCAACTAATCCAATAGAGAAAAAATAGAATAAATGATTAATTAGGATGATAGGGGAAAAAATGGAGTACAAAGTGGAAACTAAATAACAAACCTGCAGTGTACATGAGGATTTGTTTAATTATCTTTAATTAAAAAGGAGAAAGGAAATAAAGTGAACAAAAGAAAAGACAAAGCAAAATGAAGAAAAGAAAAGGAATGGGCCATATGTCAATGAGAGGGATCCATTTGGCAATCATTGGAGTTGCTATAGTAACTCCACTTTCTTCTTATATAATAGGTAGATATTTTTAATTTATTTAATTTATTTTTTATTTTATATATATCACATTATAAAAAAAATTAAATTAATATTCTAAAAAATATTTCAAATAATTTCCTATTCAAACACACTTTTCATGACAAGTGATTTCTCGTGTTTTAGATATTGAGATAACAACTTGACTTTTCTTGAATTTAAGCCCAAGATGTATATGGCAATATTAACTGAAGTTAGTGAACAACACGATTTCATGATTCCAAGGCAACACAGACATTAAATGAGCTGGAATTTGAGGCGAATCTAGGGTCCGTTTGTTTTGGGTGAAAATGTTTTCCAGGAAAATATTTTCCTAATTTCCCGTGTTTGGATGGACAAAAGTTACTAAAAACATTTTCCTATGTAAAATATTTTCACTCATCTTATGGAAAACAACTTCCCTTCCAAACTTACTGAAGTTGTTTTCCGAAATGCATGTATCCCGCCTGTAGCATGTTCCAAACTTACTGAAAACATCTTGTAGTATGTTCTTTTTTTTTTTTAGTGTAAACAGGAGGACTCGAATCCAAGATCTCTTCCTTACACTCCCTCCCCGTACCACCCAACCCAACCCAACCCAACCCTCCCCCTAGTATATTCAAAATAAAAAAAAAAAATCTCATCCTGCTCATCCTATGCTAGTAATTAATTATGTATAATAAGGACATTCTTTTCTAGAGAAACTTTCAGCAGTGAGAGTGCAAGATATATGTCACAATAAGCATTACATGTGATTGATATTTGACACTAAATGGCCAGCAATTTGTTTATTGCTTAAGGAGATATTTTTTTATTCATATATACATTTCTCCAAGATTTTTTAAAGTTAAACAATGAGATAAATTTTCTTATTTTGCATGGGAAGAAGTATGTAGTTATAATGTGTAAAAAGTAAAGATATAGATAAAAGTGAAAATATTTCAAAAGTTAAACAAACACCAGAAAAATGAAGTAAGAAAATATTTTCAATAAGCTAACCAAACACCTGAAAATGATGAAAGGGAAATGATTTTCATGGAAAATTACTTCCACGGAAAATATTTTCCCAAGGAAAACATTTTACTTCCAACCAAACAGACCCCTAGTGCTCTTGAATTCCGCTATGTCCAATTTTCTTTACTTTTTTTTCAAACAAATTTCTTTTAGTTTGTTCCTTACACTATTCTATTTCAGATTCAAGTAATAATACTAAACTAGATCTTTTTTTGTATTTTTCCTTAGATTATTTTTTTGGTAAACCATTTTTTTGGGTAGCTTCTTTTTTACAAAAATTTATTGGATTACATCATAAACACGTTCTTTTTATTTTTTTCAATCATATTTTTATCTCGCATACATCATACTACAAAAAGTGCTATAGTGTTTTTTTGAAAAATTATTCCAAATAATCTTCTACACAAACACAAACTTATTAAAGATCTTGGGCACAAATGAAATTGTTATAGTATATATACCATCAGTCAAAAGAAAAGTGGTTTATATCTTCAACATATATGATATTATAATCCATATTACTTAGAAAGTAGGAATAATTTCAGAAAAAATTACACTTACCTGCCTTGGTATAGTAAAATACCTATAATACCCTCCACTTGGTAGACAATTTTAAATTTAAGACAATAAATTTACAAAACCCAAAAAAAATCTATTTTTTCGTCTGTTGTCTATTTTCTCCCTCTCTTTTCTAGTTAATATAACCTCTTTTTATCATCTTTATTTTGTGAATATTAGTAAATTGAAATTACAAAATCAACAAAGGAAGTAGATTATCTGTCAAACTAGAAAGAAATAAAGAGACCGAAATGATAGGGAAATAAATAATGAAATTGATGATTAAAATAGGAAGAAAAACTAAAGATGTGGAATTTGTCATATTTTGTTTGTTGACAAGAAAACCTTATATAAAATGTCAATAATTACATAGGGATTTCTTTCATTGGATTAGAAATTTTTTTTTATTATTTTATTATGGAGGTAGAATTTATTCTCCACATTTGAGATATTAATATTATTAAGGCCATAAGAAGGTTGTAATGGTAGTTCTAAGTCAGATTAACTTGTATTGAAAAGGCATTTGAGCATTGATATTTAATTTTGGGGTATAAAATTGGCTGTCAATGAAGGTTGTGTGCGTTTTTATCCTTTTTTTGTGACAAGTATTGATATTGTATATGTAGTTTGGAATCTTTTGGATGGTCATTTGGTTTTAGAACTTATACTTGGATGATTGTTAGAGATTAGACTTGTTGATTTGTTCAAAGTGTAGAAGAAAATGATTGATTATTCTATATTTTTCTTCCTTCGTTTTGTACAAAAGGGCAATTTAGGATTTTTGTGAGAAAATCTTTTTTGTTGGACCTATGTTGTTACTAAATAGTAAAAATGGGGAAGATATATGTAATTTTTAAAACCTAAGGGGAGCTCTTTGTAATTGTTAAAAACCTCATGGTAGGTTTGTGAAATTATCTTTAGAAAGTACTCATGCGTTGAGCGCTTAAGAGTTTGTTTGGGATTGTAGTGGTGTTGTTAAGAAAAAAGGTATTTTTTTTGTGATAAAAGTACTTTTTCGGTGCTTAGTAAACATTATTTTGTAACTTTAGGATTACAGGTTTTGGTCTCAAAAGCAATTCTAGCCAAAGCTAAAATTTTGGTGGTTTTAGAATAAGTTTTGTATTTCAAAAAATAATTAAATGTTGATAGTAAAAGAAATCATTAAATTAAAAAAATTCAAAGTTACATGTTATCTACCATAATAAGCACTTATGCGCATATGCATCCAACAATATGATTAAACACTTAACAACTATTTTTACCAAAAGTTCTATTATATGAAATGCCTTTTTAATAAGCCACCGAGTGCCTTCTTTGGAATGGGGCAATTTATCCAACAGAGCTTTAGTCAAAGTACTTAATTAAATGTTTAATCATATTATTTCGGGTGCACACTTGCATAATATTTATTTTTTAATTGATAATATATAATTTTGAATTTATAAAACATCGTTAACTTTAAAATTTATGATGATATGTTTAAAGTTAATTTCTTATTTTTTATTAACATAAAAGCTATTGTTAAAAAATTGTGAACTTTCGGTAAAACTGCTTTAATGGGCAAAAGGTCTACTAATAAATTTAAGAAAGGACACCTATCAAACACTTTTAGAATTATGCCTTTATGCCCAAAGTACTTTTCTAGTAACAGCATTGCAATTCCAAAGAGCCCTGAATCTGCTAGCCTAAAAAATATGCTATATACAAATTGTGTCTAATCTTAAGAAATGGTTGACGATTAACAAGTATATTTTGTATACATAAAGTAATAAATTTAGACACTCTCGAGTCTTGCATTTTTTTTTTTTTTGTCAAACATCATAATTTCATTTCATGACATGAACTTGCTGCATCTTTTTTTTTTTTTTTTTGTCAAACATCATAATTTCATTTTATGTCATGAACTTGATATTACAAGATTGGATACATCAGAATTTCTTCCTTTGTAATCATTTTGTGCACTCTCATGGAGCCACATGGGAAAGCACTCTTTCCATTCAACATTTTTAGTTAGCTTTACCGCAAATTGCTAAGCTATGTGCACAACTGTTTCCAGCTCTATGGACGAAAGAGAAAGTACATTTTTCAAACAAACATCTCATATTTGCAATGTCCTCAAGGATGGTATCTACTCTGGTGTCCTGCTCATTTTCCTTGTTGATCATGTCCACCACCGCCTTGCAGTCAGATTGGAACTCTACTGCCTTCCAGTTAGCTTCTTGGGCCATTTGCATTCCCATTTGAATTGCTGCTGCTTCCTCCACCTGTGGCTCGCTTGTTTTTTGTTCAGCTCTTGCCCATGCTTTCATCAGTTTTCCTTCTGCGTTTCTAGCCACAGCACCTATGCCAGTCCTTCCCATATTTTGTGAAAAAGCAGCATCAGAATTGATCTTTATCAGTCCTCCTGATGGTGGATACCATTTCTCTCTTCTGCTTGAGTTTGTTGTTGTTGAATGAACTCTTCAGCTATATCTTTTTGGGCTTCTATCTGACTTCCTTGGATCTGCATCTTTTTCATCAAAAGCTTTCCTGTTCCTTGCCTTTCATCGAGCCTTGCATTTAATTATGTCTCTTTCTTATTTAACTTTTCAAAAAAATTAACACTTAATGCACCTCTTTTTATGTATCCATCCCATATGATTTGGGTTCGACTTTGTATAAGAAAAACATATAGAAAGGAGAGTTATGTCTAGGAAGAATAAATGATTGTCCAATGTCTTAATATCTATACAACACATTCTCATTCCTTTTTTCCCCATTTTGGTCGTCCACTTATCATTCTTTCTTTTACTTTGACTATCTTAGAACATTTTTATTGGGGTAATTAATTGAAAATATGTTTCAATTTGATCCCTTAACTTGAAAAAATGGTTTTAATATCGTCATCCAAACTAACAATTAGTATCTTTAAATTCATTTGCACAAGAATTCAATTCATTTCTTTGAGTATTATTTGAATACGTCCTCACTTCATATAATGTACAATAACTTACATGTTATATTGGAACGAGGGATTGAAAATAGGAGCCACTTACAAAAAAAATTACAAATTACGCACATAAGATTGTACCAGTCATTTTGGATATAGTCGTTTGCTTAGATATTTTTATTATGTGGAGATCAGAATAAAAATACAAAACAAAGAAGTTAGTAGATAAAAAAAAAATCTCTAAAGATATGTAGTGTAAGCAATTTAAAAAGATATAGGTATTAGGAATTTAAGATATTTATTAAAGGAAACATTTACATAAACTAAAATTGCTAGTTTACACTAATCTAAATGATTGTGATAGAAAAGATAAGGGTCTGTTAAACTGATGTCTGACAGACAACCGTTAAAATATATTTTAGGTGTTAAATTTTTAAAAAAGTAAAGTTAATTAGAAAAAGTATATAAATGCAATGAAAAATAATAATTTTAATTAAAATTATTTAAATGCAAATGAGGATAATAATTAATAGTGCATGTATTTACACGATAAATTGGGTGGGATTTAAATATGTTAACGAGAGCTCATTAAATATCTATTAGAAAAACTCAAGAGACAAATAGGTTCTCAAGAAATTAATACTCATCTACCATTTTCTAAGTAAAGAGGCTTAATTGTGTATGTTTCAAGTCAAACCATATTTGTGTACCTTGTAAATTGATAGCTAAATATTGAAATAACATTTTCTTTGGATGTAGAAAAAGATTATAAGTACTGACAGTATATATAAAATTTACTCTTTCTTATATAGATTAATCTTATATACACTGTCAGTGTATACACTATCACCATTAAATATATGACACATGCGCAAAATTTGAATTTAAAATTTAAAATTTGGTTATATGTCATCCATTCAATCATGATAGTATATACACTGACAGTGTTTATAAAATTTACTCTTCTTATAGTTAAAATTAATCACAATGATATGGGACTAGATCCAACAGCCTCATTCCACATAGATCCACATAGATCAGATGTATAAGTCTAAGACTATCCTATCTAGTAATGTTTTTTTCTCTTTAATTTTTTATTATAATTTTCTAGAGGGAAATTTTCTCGCTTCAATTCCTAGTCAACAGTTCCACATATCTCCTTCCAGTCCTCCGTCCCCAATGATCCACCTTTCAGTCCTCATTCCACATAGATCAGGTGTATAAGTCTAAGACTATCCTATCTAGTAATAATGTTTTTTTCTCTTTAATTTTTTATTATAATTTTCTAGAGGGAAATTTTCTCGCTTCAATTCCTAGTCAACATTCCACATATCTTCTTCCAGTCCTCTGTCCCTAATGATCCGCCTTTCTTTTTTTTTTTTTCCAGAAACGATAGATTAATTTATTTCTACGAATAGAGAAAATACAATATATGAGCAAGGGCTCAAGTTGTGATTTACAAAGGTGTACTGAGACACCGAGAATCAACGAACTCCTCATCAAAATAGATGTGCATTGCTTGCTTACTCAGTTCATAACTGAGTGTATTAATACTAATATTACTGGGTTGGCAAAGAAATGAGCATGTCCTAAACATTAAGCTGAGATCAGCCTTTCAGTCGATAAAAACTTTTGTTACCCTAAATCACATGAGCCTGCAATTTACATTTCTCATCTTTATTGTCCATCTTCATCGGCTTTCTCTTCTATTAGTAAAAGCCGTACTTCTACAATCAAAATGACGCGTCATGTCGGTGTTGTCTAATCGCGAATGGGCCCGCGATTCAGTTTGGCTACAATTGGCCTCAAAAGCCGTCGAAGAATAAAAAGACGAGCATATTTTATATGATAGGGACTGAAGCTATTCATTTTCAATCCCGAGGACTAAAATTTCATATATACAATAGGCAAGGGATGCTTGGTGCAAATTTCCCATTCTTTAATTGAATTTCACTCATGGTTTATTTCCTTATTAAGCATTTTAAAAATAAATAAATACCTATTGCCCCTTTACATTCATTCTCAATCTTGATTTAATTTGATTTTTTCTTTGAAATATTAAAACTTTGAACCTCGCTTAACTAGGGGTGTGAATCGAAATCGAAATCGGTAATTCGGAATTTTGAAATCGAAATTTTTTGAAATTTTGGTATCAAAATTTTCGACCGATTTCGATTTCGAATTCACCAATTCTGTATTCGAATTCGTTCCAAATTCAATTCGAAATTCGGTAAATTTCGATTTCACCGAATTCATGAATATAAAAATTATTATTATTATTATATAAATATTATATTACATATATATAAAAAATTATTATATATATGTGTGAAAACGAAATTGAAATCGAAATAAGAATTCTGATTTCACCGAATTCATGAATATAAAAATTATTATTATAATATAAATGTTATATTATATATATATATATATGAAAAACAGATTTGAAATCGAAATAGGAATTCCGAATTCAATTTCGATTTCGATTTCGAATCGTGAATTCGAAATCGGAATTTCCGATTTGAAAAATCTCATTACCGAATTCGACCAATTCGAAATGGGATATTCCAATTTCCATTCCTGATTACCGAATTACCGAATTCAAAATTCCGAATTCAATTCAAATTCGATCGGTAAATTGAAATTTTTCGATTTTGCACACCCCTACTTAAGACTACTTATAAGTTTTCAAAAGTCAAAAATTTAATGGAAGTGGTTTTGTCTCAAGTTGGCCTTTAAAACAGTTCTCTTACTGTCATTAATAAATTGATAACATAAATTAGTTAAAAAAAAAAGAATAGAGGAAGCAAAGATGAAGGATTTCAGTCTTAAATTTGAGTTTTTTTTTTGACAAGAGGACCAATTATGGATCAACGATCAATAGCTATCCACAATGATTTATTTTAAGGATTAATCACATTTTATCCCCTTAAAAAATATCCCATTTTTCAGTTTATCCCCTAACCTTTAATTTTACTCACTTAATCCCCTTTAGGACAAAATTGTCCTTGCATTATTTTGACTTTTCATTTACCTTGTTTTCCTTTTTTTTCTTTGTCTCTTTTTTCTTTATTTGATTCTTCCTCTTTCCCACAAAAATCTTCACCTTAATTATTGAAATTAAAAAAGAGGAATTGCAAAAATCTATCTTCTCCTTAAATGATTAAAAAAAAAAACTCAAATCACTTTCCTAAAATACAATTTTTTTAGCCTTTCAATTCTTTTAATTTTGGATTTTCCTCTTTCCTTTCTAGTTTCTCATTTTATTCCCAAGAAAATATCTTAAAATAAAATTGTGACCTGATTAATAATCATCAATTGAAATTTGTGACACATGGCATCATACAAAAAATCAAAATTAGTTTTTGATATTTTTTAAACCTTCACCCAAAAATATGCAATTATAAACTCAAAATAAAAAATTTCGTTGAAATGGAATTTCTATTGGGAAGGATGAAAGAGAGAAGAAAGAGAAAAAGAAATAAAAGAAAGGAAAACAATTTCATCTTAAGATATTTTTTTGATAATAAAATAATAAACTAGAAAGGAAAGAGGAAAACCCAAAATTAAAAGAATTGAAAGGCTAAAAAAAATTATATTTTAGGAAAGTGATTTGAATATTTTTTTAATCATTTAAGGAGAAGATAGATCTCTACAATTCCTCTTTTTTAATTTCAATTATTAAGGTGAAGATTTTTGTGCGAAAGAGGAAGAATTAAATAAAGAAGAAAGAGGAAAAGAAATAAAAGAAAGGAAAACAAAGTAAATGAAAAGTCAAAATAATGCAAGGGCAATTTTGTCCTAAAATGGGTTAAGTGAGCAAAATTAAAGGTTAGAGGGTAAACTGAGAAATGGAGTATTCTTTAAGGAGATAAAATGTGATTAATCCTTATTTTAAATGGCTTGTTTATCAGATTATCCATGCTCATGATAATAAATGACGGACTTGCAGATGAGCCAGCTGACTTGCTGACACAAGAAAATTTGAACTCCCGTGACAACCAAAGTCATTTTAGGTCCGCGCAACTACTCAATTATCACCAAGTCAGTATCTTAACAGACGCGGGGCTGGAGCGGTTGTTCAACAACCGCTCCGGAAGGTATAACACCATTTGTACATGGTGTAACATCATCTGTACAAAGTGTAACAATAGAACAACAGCGAGTAACATTAGAACAATATTTTTGTGGGTCCCACACGACGTGAAAATCGAGTTACAAGACGTGATCTGAGCCGCACAAATTTTTGAAGCTTCATCCAGGCCGTGAACTGCCTGGGACGGTTGTCAGAGACAAATTCATTGAAGTGATTTTCCAGTCTCGCGACGAAAAACCCAAGAAAAGAAAAGAACCTAGCGGCTGCCTTTTTTTTTTTTTCAATGCAAAGAGTTCCGGTACCTCTGTCTTGCCGCTTGCCGAAGTACTAATCAC